AATAACAAATAATCAATCATTGTTTTGAAGAAAATATTGTTAGGTTTGCTTATAGAAAGCCCGATCTGATCTGCATTGGGTTTGCCAGATGAATTTATATAGTACATGTACCTTCTCTTTTCTTGAAACACAGAGGGTTGAGAGATGAGTTTTCTTATCTAGCTCCCTCAAGACTTTTTCCTCTTCCCACAACTAAAATCTGGCCTTAGGGGCCACAGAATTCAGACATGTGGAGGAGTTTTTAGGTTTTTCTGACAGGTAAAATAAGCAGGTGAAACGGTAGATAACAAACCTTAATCTCTCAACCCTCTGTGTTTCGAGATAAGACATGAGGCCATTACCTATAACGTTGCACCTGCGGGAGCGATTCACACCCGGCATTTTTAAACAAAATTGACAATAGTTTTAATCAAAACAACGATTGATTATTGTTATTTATAATATTTCTACAACACCCAACTACAATTAAGCATATAATCCTACCTGAAACGGGTACAAATCGTTGCTTTTAAAATCGAGGCGTTAAGCCGTTACTAAGACCGCCATCTTTTTAAACGATATGCTGTCATCATGAAGGCGGGGCTAAATATAAGGCTTTTATAACAGCCAATCAAAAGGACAATCGAAAGCACAGTAACTATGAATGGATTTCGATGGCGGTGAAATGTCAGACAAAAACAACGCTTCATTAATTTAAACGCGAATATTTGGAGATAGGCGACAGTTGTGTCACTACATTGGCCTCTGTAAGTTTAAATAATCACAATATCATAAACTTAACTATTTTAAAGATGTTACATGCATTAATAAAGAAATTGAGTTTGCCACTTGGAACTAAAGGCATCCAATCGTAGCTAAAAACAAACACATCAGTATATCTCAACGTTTTTAGCTACGTTCTCGTAGCGAGTGCACTGATGTCAAAGAGAGGGGGAGGGCTGTATATTTCATTTAAAGCTTATTGATAGCATATTAGGCATACTTAGGGAGGAAAGAAACATTTGGTAATCCCTTCTCAAAACTTGAAACATTCATAACTTTGAATACATTATGAGTAATTTGACTGAAATTTTCATATAAGCTTATTCAAATAACAAAGACTATTTGTAAATTATATTGTTCTAGGATGTTCTAGATGTCCACTCTGATTTACAATTGAGAATTTCTTTGATTGTAGGTACATTTTATTATGAAATCGATTTAAAGCAACCAGATAAAACACCAAGTCGTCCAGGTTGAGTGGTCAAGTTAGAAATGTTTATTTGACTTGATTAAGATAAGGATAATAAACTGATTCAAAAGGTAGTCAAGTTAATTCTTGAAATATACATGTATATTATAATTACAACAACAGAAAGAGTCCTCGCCCCCCCCCTCCACAAATCCAATTTAATTATCAAAGTCTATTCAGTCAAAAATAAAGAAGTCAATTATATGATCATTGTGTCACTGGCAATAGGCCTAGAACTAGTAGAACCATGGACCTTATAATACAAGGTCCATGGTAGAACTTATATTAGAAGAACTGTTTACCGTTTTCTTGACACACCACGTACATGGACTAAGACTAGTAATTATTTCCCCTTATTTCATGATGGACGAATGTAGTGCGAGTTATAAATAGACAATTTTTCTTTAATTTTTTTCTCCCCTCTTCCTGCATTTTTGGGTTGACTTTTTGGTCTAGAATTGGAGAAAAGGGATCAAATTTGCAATTTCATAGCAGTTTTGGGTAATACTGATGATATTACAGCGGAGGGATAGGGGGTGTAAAGTGTCTTTCTGCAGAGCAATCATTGTGTCGGAAGTGAGATTTTCACCCCTGTCAACTTCAAATCCGTGTAGCAAAAAATCTAAATGGTCAACCCCCTACAAAATTATGATGAGGAGATTGCCAAATGTTGTCCCCATTGTGCCTATAAAGATTGGAACCAACGGAATGTTGAGCAAAAAGCTACAGCCTGTGATGTTACAGTCATTTAACATTGAAGTCAATGGGCAAATAATTGCTAGTCTGAGTCCTGATGATATAAAGAAGCGTGGCCGACTCGGGATGTTGATATTTTTTCAACGGCTTATTTCCTGAAGTTTTGAATGGAAAGTGTCAGAAATGGTAAGAATACTGCTTTTTTATTGCCCAGCAGTAAGTTTTTTGACTATTTGGTATCAAAATAGCCATGATTGGGGGTATCAGTTGGTTGAGTGTGAATTTTGGGTTGTAAATGTGTAACATTTTGTTCACAATGATATCAAAACATGGTTAGGTCTAAATATTAAGGCCAACTCAACTGCAGATTTGGTCTAAAGTCACTAGATGTAAACAAGACTGACCCTAACCCTAACCCAAGACCCAGTCCTTACCCTAACCCTAACCCACAATCTTGTCAAAAAACATGTACCCTAGGCCTAAGCCAAGACCTAGTCCTGACCCTAGCCCAAACCCACAATTGTGTCAAAAAATCATGTGCCCTAACCCTATTTACATGTTGCGACCTTGAACCAAGTCTGCAGTTGGCCTTAACATTTAGACCTAACATGTTTTTAACATCATACAATGAAATGTTAACATGTACACTCCAAAATTCACACCTGTGTGACTTTTGACCAAACATGCAGTTGGCCTTAATATTTAGACCGAACCTCAAAACATGGCATCTACCTTTGAGATTGGCTTAGACTTATGTGACACTCAAGGTTTACTTTTTTACTGCCTGTTAACTGGTTTCTTTTTGGAGGGCCAGTGACCGGCTGTTCGCTAGAAATAAAGAGGTTTATTTCTATTTCCAGTTGAAACCATATTTTTTTCTTAATTTCTCACTGTTTTTTTATTGCATATTTATCCCCAGCCTCCTATCATTTCAGGTGCCAGGGTAATGTTTCATAGAGTGGAATGATTGACCTCAACACAAGTATTAAAAAAAAAGAAGCAAAACAGGTGAGATAAATGTGCATTTCATACACTTTAAGAAGTACATCCAACCTGATCCCCACTTCTGCTCACTAATAGTAATGGGCTGGAAATTTGGTACTGCACAGGCCTGTCTTCTCCCCTTGACATTTAACTGAATGACAGAATTCCACATTTTGACCATTTTCTGGATGTCAATGACCGTTTCCCTGGATAGTATTCGCCCCAGAATTCTCATTCTCATCCAAATTTAACATTTCAGGTCTACATTTCAAAACCTGATGTCTTCCTGGACTGGCTTTAGGAGAACGATGATGCATATCAATTTCATCCCTGATCATTATGACACCTGTGGTGGAAGTGGAGGGCAAATCGTAATCAGTTTGGGTTCCAGCCCCGAGGACCTCTGTAAACTTTGCTTTTTGGTGATGACTTAATTTCCGAGCTTGAAAAGGACGCCCGTGTGTTTATCATGGCCTCTCATATTGGAAGATAACATTAATGGCTTGTGTGTTGATCGACGGTTGTGCATATCTCTTGGTCAGGAAAGTTGTAGGCACCATCGCCATTGTAAATCATTTGACAGGCCCGAGTGAACAGGGCAACCTATGATTGGTCAGCAATGTATCGGATTCCATAATGGGGGGTGGGGACGAAAAAACTGTTGTAGTGTTACATAATCAGATTATTTCAACTTACTTATCCTGTGGAAATACAGCTATATAGGAGATATTTTGAAATTCATAGGCACTGCATGTTTCGACATTTTAGATTTGACCACAATTTGGTACTTGAAACTATGTTAACAGAGAAAAACTGTGTGGTTTTCGATGAAAGTGTTAAAAGTCTAATATTGCATCATGATTACTGTTCTAAAGTATTTTCGTGTTTGATTTATATTGAATTCATCTCATCTTTTTGAAGAATGCATTTATGTTCAAAAATAAAAATGTTCTGTGGAATTCAAAATTCATGTGCTTTTAAATTATCAGATTCCAAACTGGGGGGTGGGGATGAAAAAGCTGTTGTAGTGTTACATAATCAGATTATTTCAACTTACTTATCCTATGGAAATACAGCTATATACTTATAGGAGATATTTTAAAATTGATAGGCACTGCATGTTTCAACATTTTAGATTTGACCACAATTTGGCACTTGAAACTACGTTAACAGAGAAAAACTGTGTGGTTTTCGATGAAAGTGTTAAAAAGTCTAATATTGCATCATGATTACTGTTTTAAAGTATTTTCGTGTTTGATTTATATTGAATTTATCTCATCTTTTTACAGAATGCATTTATGTTCAAAAATAAAAATGTTCTGTTTAATTCAAAATTCTTGTGCTTTTAAATTTGTCTGAAATTCCACAGTTTTCTGATGTATTATAGTGTTTGCAGAATGCCGCACAGCTCATCTGAAAATGCATAGATTTTCATATTCTTTGGCCAGGGAATTGCATATATGTTTGTTTATTAGATAACAACAGATTTGTTTAAACTGCAGAAACATGTGAGGTATATAGGACTAAGACTAGTAATTATTTCCCCTTATTTCATGATGGACGAATGTAGTGCGAGTTATAAATAGACAATTTTTCCCTTAATTTTTTTCTCCCCTCTTCCTGCATTTTTGGGTTGACTTTTTGGTCTAGAATTGGAGAAAAGGGATCAAATTTGCAATTTCATAGCAGTTTTGGGTAATACTGATGACATTACAGCGGAGGGATAGGGGGTGTAAAGTGTCTTTCTGCAGAGCAATCACTGTGTCGGAAGTGAGATTTTCACCCCTGTCAACTTCAAATCCGTGTAGCAAAAAATCTAAATGGTCAACCCCCTACAAAATTATGATGAGGAGATTGCCAAATGTTGTCCCCATAAAGATTGGAACCAACGGAATGTTGAGCAAAAAGCTACAGCCTGTGATGTTACAGTCATTTAACATTGAAGTCAATGGGCAAATAATTGCTAGTCTGAGTCCTGATATGTATAGCCTACTACATAACAGTGTGAGTGTCAGGAAAATGTCACTGTCAGTCAGTGATCAGATCCCTGATCAGAGCGTATTTTATCTCTAAGTCGTATTTTACTTACACAATATCTACAATTCTTCTAAATGTACGGTGCCGTAGCCATTTAACCATCCGTGTATTCAACAACTAAACTGTTATACTTTTACGGTAACAGTTCGAGATGCTGACCACACCAATTCTTCTTGCTGGCTCCATTTATAACTGTTTCGTAGAAAATTGTGAAAGTGTAGATGATAAAATCAAACTCCATGAAGAAACCCCTCGAAGATTAAATATTTTTCAAAAAAGCGGACTCATGTTCAATTTGATTGAGGACTTTTAAAGTAATTCATAAAACCAAAAAGTACGGAACTTACTCAAATTTGACTAGCTCTACTTCTAAAAGAAAATGGAGGGAAAATCAAAACAAAAATGAAACACAAAATGTGAAAATCTGTGATCGGGAACTATAAGCAACGTGAACATTTCAATACATCTAACAACCGCACAGACAAGTTTTTTGAGTAGTTTTATATGGTTGGTTAATGATGTCAGAGAGGCGATCAAATAGGTAGGACTACTAACCAAGTTCTAAGCTCGGAAACTTCGAAACGCCGACGTCGTTAAATGACTATGATGAGTGAATGACAAAAAGTGGACAGTGGCCAATGCATTGCCAATGAGTGTAGTACTAGTAGGACATGAGTTATTTATTATGAACCTGCACGTTTTGGTCCCTTGCCCCTGGTTGCGGGTCAGTTCATCCCACGACCGTTTCCGCCCAGGGCTGTTGTTAGTGTTTCATCCCAACCTATTTTTTATACACCCACATTATTTGCATTATATATGCATTATTTGAATTAGTGAAACGGAAAAGCCTATTGAATTTCATCATCGGTTACCCAGTGTAATCATTCCGTTCTACTCCACTATACCCTGGGTTAATCCATAGGGTTTCCACGATTTCAAATTATCTGCCCTGGCCTAGAATGTAGCTACAGTCTACGAACCAATCAGAAAACAGTTTACAAACCAATCGTTTCGCCTTCGTTTTTATAAGGGTAGATAACCATATTCATGTCCATTTACTGAATGATTTTAAATGTAAATAATGTATATATTTATAGTTTATTTATATTTAATTGTATTTTCAAAATCTGTAGTATGTGTTGTTGATTTCAAATAAGTATAACATCTATATGTTTGACTTTTGTTATTATTATTACTATTCGTTCTTTGTCTGAAATATGTCATTCTGTTATGTTTATTATTACTGAACTTATACTTGGCAATTTGATTCACTATAACTTGTCTACGATTTCATGTGGACATAAAATTCCGGGAACGAACGAAGGAACGAGTCTAAATAAAACTAATGACCCTAAATTATTATATGAACGTCTGGTCTTCATTAACATAATATATAATTGGTTTTTAATTATTACGCATTTAGAATAGGCCAACTCCTAACATTGTCCGATGAGAGTTACTTCCCTTTGCCAACTTCCTTTTCGATTTAACAATTTATGGGATTGGTCGATAAAAATAGCACACTTATCAAGGGCGGTTAACTTGAAAACGTGTCTCCCCCATAGATTAACCCAGGGTATAGTGGAGTAGAACGGAATGAGTACACTGGGTAACCGAGGATGATTGAATTTCAGCAATCTCCCTTAATTACTTCAAGAGTTATGGCCCTTGTTTCACTTTGTTTCACCTTGTGAATCCTCTAACATCTAAAGTTATCTGCCGATCTGTATTAAATTTATAGGTGTCATTTAAATTAGTAAAAAAGAAGAATCCTATTGAATTTCAGCAATTTCCATTTATTATTTCTAGAGTTACAGCCCTTGTTTCACTTTGTTGCACCTTGTCAACGCTCTAACAATACATCAAAAGTTATCAGCCGATCTGTATGAAATTTATATGCGTCATTTAAATTAGTAAAAAGAAGAATCCTATTAAATTTTATTATGTTTAGAGTTGTGGCCCTTGTTTCACTTTGTTGAACCTTGTGAACGCTAACAATGCCAAAAGTTATCATCTGATCTGTATGAAATTTATATGCATCATTTAGATTAGTGAAACCACAAAGCCTATTGAATTTCAGCAATTTACAATAATTACTTCTAGAGTTATGGCCCTTGTTTGACATTGTTCAACCTTGTTAATGCTCGATTGATGAAAGTTATCATCCGATATGTATGAAATTTATATGCATCATTTAAATTTGTGAAACGGAGGTCTATTGAATTTCAGCAATTTCTGTCAATTATTTCTAGAGTTATAGGCCTTGTTTTTACTTTGTGAACCTTCATTGATTGGCATTTAGTAACTGAACATATTAACACAAGGTACAATTTTATGGATACACAATTACTGAGTTTAATACTAAGCGACGTTTCGACGAGGATACTCTCGTCTTTATCAAGTAAATGATACAGGTATGTTGTTGTTGTTGTTTATTACAGATTTAATGTCCAATACAATAAATATAATATTATTGACAGGTTGATTTAATTAAATTATTTACACTTGAAAATTGTTAAAAACATAGGTATGTGAATAGTAGGCAAATACATGTATATACAGAATATGCAACAAAAATAACAATCAAATACAATTAAAACTTAACACATTTGATTAAGGGGGCCATTAACAACTAAACCCACACAAAGGAAAATCTTACAGGGATTAAAAGGAGGGCAATCCTATTATGTAACAATCAATGTATTAACACTATTAATGGGAAATCAATTAACCTGAGCTATAGATCAACAATAATTTAAAGAGAAGTGTGTGTTTATGGGAGTATGAGTGAACCAGAGTGATCGCTGAAGCAAGGGTAAAGATAAAATAATAAAAATAATAATAAATAAAAAATATATTAATTCATTAAACAGAAAATCATGAAAGGTAAAATCTATTATTAGACTCTAAAACTGGACGAGGGAAACCATAAATAAATTAATTCAATAAACTGAAAATCAAAGAATGTGAAATATATTGCCAGACTGTAAAACTAGATAAGTACTGAAAACCAAGGTATGTAAAATGTATAATTAGACTGTGAAAAAACTGGATAAGCACTGAAAAAGAACCCAAGTATGGGAATCAATGTATAAGTTCGTCATAAGCTCCTGAACAAGAGTGATTGCTGACGCAAAGAGAAAGCATAAATGTATTAATTCAATAAGCTGAAAATCATGAAAGATAAAACCTATTATTAGAGTATAAATTTAAAGTCAATAAATGTGAAATATATTATCAGACTGTAAAACTGGATAAGTACTCAAAATCAAGATATATAAAATATATAACTAGATTGTGAACCTGGATAAGCACTGAAAATGTATTAATTCCGTAAGCTGAAAATCGTGAGAGATGAAACTCGTTATTAGATTATAAACCTGGACGAGGGAAACCGTAAATATATTTATTCAATTAACTGAAAGTCAATAAATGTGAAGTATATTTTCCGATGATTTACAAGTCACTATCTGCTTCCACCAATCCCTCGACCGTAGCAGAGCATATTATTAACAACGGACAACACACAATCCTGTGGGACCAAACAAGAACCCTTGCAATAAATCATCACGAGAAGAAAACAGAAAACGTCTTGAGGCCATCAATATAAACCGCAAGTTAAACTGTGATGTGGGACTCTTTATACCAAGGGCTTATGACCAACTTATACATTGATTCTAATACTTTAGTTCTATTTCAGTGCTTATCCAGTTTTCACCGTCTAATTATACATTTTACATAATACATTTTCAGTACTTATCCAATTTTACAGTCGGAAAATATACTTCACATTTATTGTCTTGTAAATGCCCCTAATTACCTACAAAAGAATAAATATGTGTCAACCCTGTCGATCGCTTGGACGATTTAGCTGTGTATGTTTCGTTGCCTGGCAACCTATTTTTTATTGGGCTGTTTCATCTCCCTTGTTATTGTAATATTTAGCAGTTAAAGGAGCTAATATTTGGGACCTAGAAATTGACACAAATAGGTCGCAACGCATACAATAATGTAATATGAATGTATATAAATTGATTTACATTCAATCGTTTCTGTTTTTACTGTAATTTCTAAGCAGTTAGGTTCGGCGAAATACGCCAGTATTCTCAATCGAATTTCAATCTCTAGCGTCTGGTTTTTCCATTCTACGCTGATAGTATTTATTGGGCATGCTCTCCAGATAAGAATATTGCGTCACCGTTTGACATGACTTGTGGAATATGCCTAGCCTTGTTTTTTCGAGTTCCTTATTACAAATAGCTCTGAAACGCATTATGGTACACGATTCGTGTACCAATGGTAAAATGTTTATTTTGTCTTAAATATTGGATATCAGAAGGTTATCTTTTCCCGGTAAGATCACAACATCAATGTTGATTTAAAGCGACAAATAAATCGACCCACGGATGGCTCGGCTACAGCTCGGATTTAAATAGGATTTCACTAATTGATTAAATCAGATAAGGGGTAACCTGATGAAAATACGTCAGTTAGATCGAGGCTAAATGATAGAGTGTACTTAGCGAGGCCGCTGTAAAGCGTTTCCGTATGCCATTGATAACTTTACTTGATAATCGAGATATGTAGGTGGAGTTAACGCCTGTCAATCAAACGTTCGTCGATGATGAAGACACATTTCGCTACCATTTCTAGGCAAATATTACAACGATGATAACTATGTTCAGAATAAAGTAATTTGACTGAATTTTTCAATATATTCTTCTTTCATCATCTACTTTTGAACTGTTATAGCAAGAATGACCAACTCTCTATAAATATCTCCCATAATATCTTTAATTATTTATTGTTAAATGAACACATAATTGATTAATAATAAAAACATGTAAATATTTGGGGTTAGAGTTGGGTTGAGGAAGCCAGATAAAGTAACAAATAGCGTTGGTCAGAATGAATGTCCATCCTAGAGTTTTTATCTAAAAAATGTTGATATCTTTTTTGTACGTGACGTAGTCATGGCAACAGCCAGGGGTGACAGTTTTTTTTAGCTGCCAAAAAGAGAGAGGGGGGAGAGAGTGTCTGGGGAATCGAAGGATATAGTTGATTGTTATTTCGCGCTTATAGTTACAGTAGAATGTATAGATAGAAAAATAATAGCTGTGTACTCTTATGATGTTTATCGAAAAATAAATAGATCATCTAATAACTTTTGTGTTCAGTATTCGGAACATGTTTTGGTAGCAGAGCGTGGTTTCGATCCACGGACCTCTGGGTTATGGGCCCAGCACGCTAAACATCCCCCTCCTTGATGTGACCCAGCATCAATAAAAA